AGGCATGCCAGGTGCTGGGTTTAAAACAAATGAGACTCAGACTAGTGATGTAATGGCTGAAACAGAATAATGACAACAGAGTATAGGAAGCACTTGGGCAGGGTACAGAAGTCTATGCAGCATAAAGAGGCCACTAAACAGCCAGGAGAGGAGGGCTAAAGCAAGCTTTCAAGAAGTGGCATCTAAACCAAGACCTGAAAGTTGATCAGGAGCTTGCTCGAGGGAAGGTGGGAAAGATAGTCCCGTCAGAGAGAACAAAAAGTACAGTGTAAGGATTTGCAAACCCTGGTCCAATTCCTGGCTTTATAAATAAAGTTTTATTGAAACATAGACATGTCAATACATAAGTCACTACATTCACTTATATGTTGTCTCTGGCAGCTTTTGCTCTACATAGTAGAGCAGAATAGTTTTGACAGAAATGCTATGGCTTGCAAAATATAAAATATTTACTATCTGGCCCTTGACAGAAAAACTTTGCTGACTCCTAGAGGTGAGAGAGCTGATGCTGCCTTTTAGGATCCCAGTGGCTGGAGGAACAGTGGGAAATGTGCAACAGGCAGCTCACAATGACCTGAGCCCTTCTTCCCACAGCCATAGTGGATTGACCCAGGAGTGGATATACATGATTTAAAGACTTTATTTACTTTAGGAGGGGAAGGGAAGGTGACAGAGAAGGAGAGAAACATTAGTAGGTTGCCTATCATAGGTTGTCTCCCAACTGGGGATCTGGCCCACAATCTAGGCATGTGCCCTGACTGGGAATTGAACCAGTGACCTTTTGGTTCATAGGCCAGCACTCAATCCACTGAGCCACACCAGCCAGGGCTAGACATACTTGATTTAAACTGACCTGATAGATTTCCTCTTACTAGGAATCTGAAATATGGAACAGAAGGCCCAGAAATGGAGCCAAGTCACAGTAGTGTCTGTGAACCTCTGCTGCTTAGGCCCCCAGTCTGGTTAATCAACAACTCCCTTGATTCAGAAGGCCCTTGCCGTCAATCCCCCAAACTTCCAATTTTCATTTTCCTTCAAAGTCAAGTTCCTGTTACTTTTCATGAAAAAAACTTTAAAGGAATGGAGATGAAGCTGCCAGAGTATACAGGTTTAGTCAGCGTGGTCCAGTTTAAGTACAATGTGAACCATCTATAATTTTACATTTTCTAGTAGCCAAGTAGCCACACTTTAAACAGTAAAACGAAATGAGTGAAATTAATTAATAATATATTTTATTTCACCCAACATATACAAACTATTATCATTTCAATATGTAATCAATATTTTAAAATTGTTAATGTGATATTTATATTCTTCTCTTTGGGCTGTATCTTTGAAGTCTGGAGGTATTTTACACTTATAGCACATCCTGAATCATGCCACATTTCAAGTGCTCCGTAGCCAAATGAGCTTGTGGCAAACATCATGGACAGCACAGTTTTAGACACTCAGGCCCTGGCTAAAGCCATGGCTTTATTCTGAAAAAAGTGGGCGTCCCCGGAACAGACTCACTCCAGGAAGTAACATGATGAAAACTTCATTGTAGTTGGATCACTCTGACTTCCACTTAAAGAATGGGCTGGACCAGAGCTGAGACTAGAAATGGGGAGATTATTTGGAGTTGAAATAATCCAAATAGAGGATGAGAGACCATGATGATGGAGTCTGCCAGTGGCAGCAGGGATGGAGAGAAGCACCTGAAGTCAAGAGATGCTTAGGAGGCAGAAATAACATCCCTCATCATCATCGTTGCTCCCCACCACGCCTCACTTTTCCCACCTGCATCTCCTTCCCACCACTCTATTCCAAATACCTTCACCTCCCTCTCTGGCGACCAAAACAGCAACCTGCCTCCACTGTTTACTATCTGTTCTAGGTTAAGATACCTCACATTTAAGCCTGCTCCCTAATTTTTTAATAGAAATAATTTAAGTGGCCCTGGCTGGCATAGCTCAGTGGATTGAGCGCGGACTGCAAACCAAAGTGTTGCGGGTTCGATTCCCAGTCAGGGTACATGCCTGGGTTGCAGGCCATGACCCCCAGCAACCACACATTGATGTTTCTCCCTCTCTTTCTCCCTCCATTCCCTCTCTAAAAAGAAATAAAATCTTTAAAAAAAAAGAAAAATAAATAATTTAAGTGGTTACTAGGGGTAGCATGTGTCATGTGCTGTTCTAACCTTTCTAAATATGTTCACTTATTTAATCCTTAGAACAACAGTATGAGGTGCGTCCTATTATTCCATTTTACAAATGCAGAAACTGTAGCACAGTCTCGCAGCAGGAAACACAGGATTCCACCACAGGCAGGGAGGGATCGGAATTTGTGTGATAATATCCCCTTCACCGAGTCGTGTGAATTAAGTGACATAATTCGAGTGAAGGGCGATGGCAGGGCATGGCACACAGCAGGTACTCTATTTTAAAATGTAACACAGCCTGGCCTCCAGGTAAAGAATTCGTTCAAAGACCCTGATTTTTTTGCGTGAAGTCAGGTGTCTCCTCTCGGGTGTAATATGGATGGGTGACGGGGACCCCGGAGGCGAGACCCCCTAGAAACACACAGCTGCTATAGGTTAAATTGAAGCGGAAGTACCTCGTGAGCAAGGGTCCGCCTTCCGGTGTTACATTGGGCCTTTCTAGCCTCTCTGTTTCCCACGCTACCGCGTTGTGAGCTCTCCCAACTCCCGCGGGAGTCCCGCCCTCGGCGAAAGTGCGGTTTTCCAGTGGTGGAGTCTGAGAGCTGCATCTCCGTCTTTTAACCAATGTATTCTGCTGCCTTTTTTCACTGTTGGGTAAAGTCAGACTCTCCTCCTGGCCGGCAGAGGGCGCGAGAGCTTGTGGCTCGAAACCCTGTACACCCTCGGACACCACGGAAGTGACATCACACTACCGGAAATTCTCCCCCGCCCGCGGAGTCTGAGTGTGGATTCTCGCGTCTGTAAGGCGGGTGACCTAGGCTCCGGAAAACAGTGGTTAAGGGTACCGTTTCCAGCCCTCACCATATCAAATAGTCAAATGAGGAAACTGAAGTCCTAGAGGGAGGGGTTTGCTCATATTCACTCAGGCCGGCGCGCCTGCACCCGACTCCTCGGAGCAGGGGGACCCTGCGGGTTTTGAAATCAGAAATATTCATAGTGCAGAGAAGGGGAAACCGAAACCCGGAGAGAGACAGGGACTTGCGGGGTAGGCAAGGTTGCCAGATTTAGCAACTAGAGGATGAATAGCTGAAGCTGAATTTCAGATAAACAACAATGGTTTAAGAATATTCTAAATATTTCATGATCCATATATGCGTCCTGTATTTTACATGGCATTCTTAGGTCAAGGTCACCCAGCTGAGTGGAAAAGCAGGAAGGGCTATTGAGATGTCCTCGATGCCTCCACACCTAAGGCTCACTAGTATGTAGACCTGTGCTTTTCCTAGGTGTAATCCTGAGGTGGCCTGAAGGGACCACAGCCTTCGGGTCAGTGGTCTTCCCTCCGCAGGATCTATCTAAGCTGCTGTTGAGGAGCTGAGAGGGGGCCAAATACCCACCCCCGAGGATTCAGGGGTACCCCCTCCCCCCACCCTTCAAGACTAGTTTATTCAAGACAGCAGGTACTTTGTGCCCAGCACAAACTCAGGCAAGTAGGAGAAACTCCCTGTCTTTTTTTTTTTTAATTAACAATTTTGCGGGAAAACATAGAGGAAAATTATAATACTTTGTAGTCAACTGTTCTTTTTTTTTTAAATATGAGATTGTTTATTTTTAAAGATCTTATTTATTTATTTTTAGAGAGGGAAGAGAGGGAAGAAGAGAGAGAGAGAGACATCAATGTGTGGTTGCTGGGGGCCATGGCCTGCAACCCAGGCATGTGCCCTGACTGGGAATCGAACCTGCAACACTTTGGTTCACAGCCTGCGCTCAATCCACTGAACTACGCCAGCCAGGGCTTCTACTGTTCTTTAATGTGGGTAAATGCAGAGTGCTATGAAAGCTCAGAGAAGTAATAAATACCTAACGAAGAGAAAAGGGAGAGAGACCCCAGCTGTGACCTGAAAGCTTCAGTCAGTTATTTGTGTGTAGGGCAGTATTCTAGGCACTGGGGACACAAGCAAAACAAATTCTGCCCTTAAGAGTTTAATTCTAAATAAAATGTATGTCACCTTGGCTGGTGTACTCAGTGGGTTGAGCACAGGCTGTGAACCAAGGGGTCACTGGTTCCATTCCCAGCTGGGCACATGCCTAGGTTGCAGGCCAGGTCCCCAGTGAGGGGTATGTGAGAGGCAACCACACATTGATGTTTCTCTCCTCTTTCTCCCTCCCTTCCCCCTCTCTAAAAATGAATAAATAGTATCTTTAATAAATAAATAAAATATATGTCAAGTGGTGATCTGTTGGGAGGGGAATTAAGGCTGCTAAGGGGATTATGGAATGGTGGGTTAGGAGTGGGACAATTAAGTTGTAAAGAGGATGGTTGGGAAAGCTTCAGGGAGATGAGGTTGACCCAAGACTTGGAGGGGTGGGGGGAAGAAATCATGAGGGTATTTGGGGTTATAAGGAAACATGTCTGGCTTGTTAGAGGAGCAGGAAGAGTGATGCACCGCCTCCAATGTGATAGCTTTCTAAGGGATGTTTAGTGATACTAGTGACAACGTATTTCTTGCCTTAAGTATTGTCTTCAGAATCCCATTCCTGTTCAGTGTAACTCCACACACCTAGGTGGGGAACTGCTTTCAATAGTGTGTTCAGAAAAGACCGTCCCAAGAAGGGGATATTTAAGTGGTGGCCTTTATGATGAGAACGAGCCACCCCTGGAGAAGCTGGAAGAAGAGTTACTTGGGAACAGCAGGGCAAAGGTCTGGAGGCAGGAAAGAGCCAGTTGAGTGTGAGGAGCTGAAGAGAGGCCACGGGCTGGAGTACGGTGAGAAAAAAAGGTGGCATGAGATAAGACGGGAGGTGGGCAGAGGTCCTGGGCAGTTCAGCCTTTATTAGCATCACAGTAGGAAGCAACTGAAGGGTCTTCAGCAGAGGACTGACGAGATAGGATTCATGGGTCACGAAAAGATTCCTTTGACTGCTAGGAGGCTGCGCTGGATGATTTTGCTGGTTGAATTTTTTCAGGCTTTGCTGCTCATCCCAGAGGTGCCAGGAAGAGGGTTTAAAATGGAGCAAAGGGTTGAATGGGAACGGCCATCTTTTCACCTGCCCCATGGTCCCTTTACAGCTGGAATGAGCTAACTTGGGCAGCTGGGTTTCCAGGGGGAGGGATGGCACTGCTCCACAGAGCCACCATCCTCCTCCTGGGTAGGGGTGGATAGAGATGACAACTTGTGTCCCTCAGAGCCCCAGACCCCCATCAGGCTCCCTAGCCAGCCCGTCCTGGTTAAAGTGAAGGAAGTACATGCTACCTCCAGCCCCCCAGGTCTCCTCCCGCTGCCCATTTGGAATACATTTTCAATGATCTTCGCAAAGGTTCTGTCGTGCTTCTGCTCCAGAAGCAATAAGGCTCCCTACCGTCTGCAGAATTCAGTCCAAATTCCTGGCTCTGTTATTCAAGGCCCTCTGCACGTGCTCTGCATCGTGAGTTCCTTGAGAACTCAACTCGACTCTGCATCACCTTGCCTACCACAGAGCTGTGGCCACAGTAAGGAATCAAAAGGAGCTCAAGACATTACCTTTTGAGATCCATAGATTCGTACAAAGTAGATTAGTGGTTGCCAGGGGACTTAGGGGAGGGGAAAATGGGGAGTGACTATAGATGAATTTCTTTTTGAGGTGATAAACATGTCTAGAATTAAATAGTGGTAAGGGTTGTACAAACTCTATACTAAAAACCGCCAAGTTTATACTTTGAAAGGTGAATTGTAAGGTATGTGAGTTACATCTCAATTTTTTTTTAATGCAGAAGGAAAACCTTTTGGGTCACCTGTTGCAGCTGAGGAAACACTAAAATCTGAACTCTTTTGCTTAGCCTGAGACCCTTGCAGTGTGAAGCAGCCTTTGTCCTGACAAAAACGTCTAGTCTGAGGAGACAATCAGACATTGCACTGGGCATGTCAGTATCCATGGCCAGCCCTGTCCTAACAAGGACCGCATCAGTTACCAGCCACCCTGCCACCCCGTGTTGCCATTACTCTTACTGCCTTGCAGACCTGCAAAGAAGTGAGGGTGCAGGGTCTCCTCAAAACCCATCTCTTTGCTCTTTATGTTTGGTGTGAACTTCCAAAGCTGTGTCAAATCCTCCATTGCCCCCACTGTGGGTCAGGACATAGGCTGGGTGCCAGGTTCACCCAGAGGTCCCTCTCAGTCATGAGCTGAGCCCCAGGGCTGAAGGGAAGCAACTCTGACCCCACCTTGGCCCCTGACAGCCACCCTTCCTCATGCCGCCAGGCACAGAGGCCTGTGGAAAGGAGAGAGATGAGTCCCAGAAGCCGGTGCCAGCAGGAGATGCCCATACTGCAGCCAGGTCAGGATGGAGGCACAGGCCAGGGGTCCTCAGTGCAGGGTGGGAAATCTCGCTGCTGGCCTAGCCCAGGCTGAATTGAACTTCCAGATTCCACTGGAGTATTAAAAAACCTAAATATTTATTTGTTTCATATTTACAAAGGTGGGAAGGAGACCAAGGGAGACCCCAAGAACACCCCTCACCTGGCTGACCAGGCCCCTTTGCGTTGCAGAGGAGGCAGACACAGCTGGAAGGAACAGGATTTATGTTGCATACTTGAACTACAGCGAGTGTAAGACCGGTCCTATGTACAGGGCAGAAACACTGCAGGTGGAGTGTGGGGGGCAGCAGAGCGAGCACCAGAGTCCTGGCCAGAGGGTGCCCTGCTTGCCACCCTCCCCAACTCTCCCAGAGGCATCCTTGTGCCCTGCTGGAGTTCTCCCAGGGGAATGGGGCCTGCTCACATGATGCTCGCCGGGGTGAAGACAGGGGCCACACACAAGGTGTCTGTGATCTCCCAGCCGCAGGACAGAGGCTTGCACACGCCCTCAGTGTCCCCGTCTTGTTCTGCAGGCAGCAGCTGCTCTCGCAGTGCTTCCCTGTGGGTGAAAGACAGGCACCAGAGGCCACCAGTGTGGGACCCACAGGCTGGGACTCCTGATGACCCTGCACTGGAAGACCTGGCCCTGTCAGGTATAGGGGTCGCACCTGGGCCCCAGAGCCCAGCCTCAGGCAGGGGAAGGCCTGCTGACCCCTCTTCCCCAACCCTTCTAGTCCAACCCCCCAAAAAGGAAAGGAACCCATGTTTACTGAGCACTTACTATGTGCCAGGCACTTTACTTACGCTGTCTACTTTTATCCTCCCCCAAACCTGTAAGGGCAGCATTATCATCCCCATTTTACTGATGAGGAGGAAGTTGAGACAGAGAGAGACCTGCCCAAGGTGGTAGAACTAGAATTCCACCCAACTCTCTTTCACATTCTTTATACTCTAAGCTTGGAACTTAAAAAAAAAATCTCCTTTCCCATTCAAAAAATCCCACAAACTCTCTCCTCCTACCCACCCATGCAGATACACAGCTCCATCATCTGATCAGCCACACATTGGGAGTCTTGTCCCCCCCACCCAGATGATTCCTGCAGAGTCCAGATCCTGAACATCCTCACAGGTGCACACCTCTCTCCGTTCCCGCTGCCACCACCCTCTCTAGCCGGGAACACACAGCCTTGTGGATCTGCTCCTGCCTCCTGCAGACATTTCTGGTCCGGGGGCCATCTTTCCAAACAGCAAATCCCTGCTCGTGAGTTACCAACAGCTTCTCTCCGCTCAGGCCCCATGCGATCTGGCCCCTCCAGGCCCCTCCAGGCACCCCAGCCTCTCCTCCTGGGTGCCACCACAGCACCGCCTTTCAGGCTCACACACACCCCAGGCCTGTGCACGTAGTTGTGCCTCTGCCTGCATCCTCACCCCTCACTAATTCCTCCTCGGTCTTCAGGGCCCACCTTCAGCGACTGAATGAACCTCAGGGAAGACTTTGCTGAATCCCATAGCACAGTGTACTTCTTGATAACAGCAGGGTTCAATACCTGCTTCTGTGACATTCCGTCAACCACAGCAGGGCAGGGAGTTAGTGCCCGGGCCCCCAGCGGTAACGCTGGCACAGAGTGAGCACTTACTCCGTGCTGAGGGCAGACGCCCCTGCCCTCCGCAGCCATCTCCCCAGCCCCAGAAGCGGGACGTGGGGCTCTTCACTGCCGACCACTTGTGCGACCTCAACCAAGTGACCTGCTTGTGATAACACTGATCCCACAGAGTTGTGTGTGGTTAGAAGGAAATAATTATCAATCCTGATAGACGTGTTTAACAAACTCAGTTTTCCTCCCATCTCGTTCACCTTCTGGTCTCACGAGACCCCAGCGCTGGCCGAGTGAGGCAAGCAGGGCCAGCGTTAGGCTCATGTTCTAGGTGGGCAGACGGAGGCCGAGCGAGCACACATCTTCTCTTTCACAGAGCAGCCACCTGACTGGTCAGCTCCGTGCGCTTTCACCCTGGATCCATGTAGCAGCTAGAGCGGTCTCTCTAAAATGCAAGTCAGACCATGCCGCTCCCCTGCTTCGAGCCAGTCTGTGCTTCCCCCTCGCTGCTGACAGCCCTTCATCAGTGTCCAAGGCCCTTCTCAGACCCAGCCCTGCCCCTGCCCCAGCCACGACCGCCTCACATAGTTTCAAGAAGGCAGAATGCTCGCTCCCTGTTCCCTCTTCCTGGAACCCCCTCCTGCCTCCTGCTGCCCAACTCCCCCTCGTCTCCCAGGCTTTACTCCGTGGGGATGTGGATCTGGGCCCCGGGGAGGAATCTAAGCTTCTACAACCTGCCCTCTCCACCCGGCACAGAATTATCAGGAGTCCTGCCTGTTTCTCTGTGTCTCACTGGCTCTGAGCTCTTCAAGGGAAGCTCAGCCTCATTCGTGGCCCCAGCCCCATGCCGAGCACAGGCCTCTCTTGGAATCAGCAGCCAAGAGCTACTTTCAAGCTGGATGTCACAGAAGCAGGGTCTCAAATCTCAGGCTTTCCTTATTGCTTCTGTCCAGTCTGCTCCTTCTCCCACCCCCCCACCCCCCGCACTCCACGTCCCAGCAGGGTCCCCTTACCAGGCCACCCGGGACATGGCATAGGTGATGCGGCAGGTCTGGGCCCCTCCAAAGAGGGAACCCATGCCCACGGTGTAGGCGCCCATGTTCTCAAAGACCAGCCAGTCCCCTACGTGTAGTTGCGGCAGCCACAGGCCCTCAGCTACGCAGTCACAGCCATCAAGCGCCGGGCCCCACAGGCTGCTGCTGTGCAGCGGCTGCTCTGTGGATGGTTTCTGCAAGAGAGAGGAGTGACCACATTCACTCTCCTGGGCATACTGTTCACAGCTCATCACTCCCGCCCTCCCAAGCCTCCCACGCTCCCACAGCCAATAGGATAAGGACTGGATGGGCCTCTTAGCCTAGCATTTAAGGCCCTCCCACTTCTCTGCTGCCCTTGCCTCTTAACCTCTGAAGCCACAATGCCTCTTAAATCCAGGCTCCGACACTTGCTAGCTGTGTGACCTTCAGCAAGCTTCTTCATCCCTCTGTGCCTCAGTTTGCTCATTTGTAAAATGGGAATTATAATAGTATCACCTCATAGGGATATATCAGCGTACATAAAGCATTTAGAACAGTGTCTGACGCATGACAAGGACCAGCGAGATAGCGCTGTCACTGTTATTGTTACCTCCTCTCTGCTTCAGTCTTTCCTGGCAAATCTGCCGCTTTCCAGACCCCATGTGTGTCCACACCTCTGCAGCCTTCCCTGTTCCTCAAATCCAGCTTGTGCCCTGGGCCCCACCCTGGGGCATCCTGTTCCCTGAAGGCCTCCCAGAACCCCTCATTCCATACCAGGCCAGGTCACGAGAGCCAAAGTACCCGTGTGTGTGAGACCCAGACTCCCTCAGGCCCTCAGTCTGGCAAGGAGCGCCTCCAACGGCCACAGAGTGGCCTGGCAGAGGTCACAGAGAGCCCCGTAGAGTGAGCATAATTATTCCCATTTCAGGGAAACTGAGGCTCTGAGAGGTTATGTGACTTTCCCAAAGACACAACTACCAGTTACATTAAATTTTAATATTTTTCTTAAATTAATTCCAAATTCAGAAAAGAAACGTGGTACACGGACCATTTGCAGACAAGCAGGATGCCAATGCAACTCGTCTCAGTGCGGGGGACCCTGCCGGGCAGGTCCCAGAGGAGGAGTCATGACCGAAAGATGGACTTGAGGGAATCCTGACCATGCCCTTCAAGGCCCTCACTCCGCTTCCCACTGCACTTGCTCTGGGCTCCCCAAGTGAACCCTGCTTCCCTTCCCCAGCCCCAGCCTTCCCCTTGCTATTCCCTGAGGCCCCAAACCTGCCAGTCCCCCATTTCCCCTTTGGATCAGCAGTCCTCAACATTTTTGCCACCAGAGACCAGTTTTGGTTTCGTGGAAGACAATGTTTCCACTGTCGGTGAGGGGCGGGGGATGAGGCCAGGGGGTTGTGGGCGGGGAAAGGAGGCAGCACTCAGGCCTGGGATTGGGGCGGGAGGCAGGAGGCGGAGCTTAGGTGGAAATGCAAGCAGCCTCCACGGATGGAGAGGGGGAGGTCGGGGGACCCCTGCTTTAGATCTGAGTTGACACGCCTCATGGAAGCCTTTCCTAAAACTTTATGCTCCCACAAGCTTTGCCTCCATAGCATTCACCTTAATTTATAAGCAGGCATTTGTGAAATGTGTCTGCTCAGCCTGCAGACTGCAAATTGGATGAGCCCAGAGATCATGACAGTCTCGTTCCCCTCATCTTCTCCATGCCCTGCAGTCTGGCATACAGTACGGGCTTTTTGAATAATACCTTTTAAATGAATGAATGGGAAATGCATGAGTGAAAAAAAAAAGACAAAGAGCGAGAAAGAAAGAAAAAGAAGACGTGAACAGAAGCCATCCAAAGAGCCTAGAAGGAAGCAGTGGAGAAGGCCAACAGAGGAAAAAGGAAAGGCATTTCAGTACCTTTGCCAGCAGCAGAAAAGGGTAAAGTTGAGAAAGAAAAGCCACAGGTTCCATAAGCAAGTTTCAAAACTTTGTCAAGTTTTGACAAAAAATTAATAAGCCATTAGTCTCATTAATTTTAAAAAATGTACAGCTTATTAACATCAAGAATGAGACCCTGCCCAGCATGGCTCAGTTGGTTCAGCATCATCCCACAAAGCTAAAGGTCACTGGTTCGATTCCCAGTCAGGACACATGCCTGGGTTGCAGGCACAGTCCTAGGTTGGAGCACATGAGAGAGGCAACCAATCAATGTTTCTCTTCCTCTCTTTCTCCCTCCCCTCCCCCTAAAAATAAATTTTTTCAAAAAGGATGAGCATTACCCTATATGCATTCATTCATTCAACAAATACTTATTAAGCAACTACTATGTGCCAAGCTCTGATGCAGGAGCTGGGGATGCAGCAGTGAGCACACACACACACACACAGAACAAAGTTCCCGTGCTCAGGAAGCTCACATGCTAGAAAGGGAGACGAACATATAGCCTTGTTCATATAACTTAATATTCTTGTCTATAAGCTTTCTGTTAATAAGTAAAATTAATCTCAGTTGCTCTGAACTATTTCCTTTAGCTCTAACCAGTAAAAAATGTTAAGCCAGCTTTTAAAGATGGTACTGGGGACTGGGAGGAATGCTACATAAATGTACCAACAAGAATCCTTGAAAAAAGAGATTTCAAAGGCTCTTCTACAGTAAAGTAAAAAAAAAAAAACCAACAACTTTGAGTTACGTTAGAGTTCTCTCACTTCTTATTAGCAGCGTAAATTTTTTAAATAAGTGGGGGAAAGATTTTACAAGTTTACAAGAAATAATGCAAAGCTACTCTCTTGCTATTTAAAGTCATTTTTTTAATCTGCAAAACAGAGGGTGGTGCAAAGGTAGATTTACAGTTGTGAGCACATGAAAGACAGAGTGGCAAGAAGCTTGAAAGTCTCAGCTCCCTTTATGAGTCCAAACACTGAACAAAAGTGGACAAACATGTAAAAATACAAGACACCTCGTCTGCTACTGAGAGGGCAGGGGGGTTCTAGTTTACAGGCCATGCCCACCACTACTTCACGCTTCATCTGGAAGCCTTTGGCAATTCCCCTTCTACAGATGAGACAAGCCAGAGAGAGGAAGGGACCTGCTCTAGGTTCTGGAGGGAGTTAGGAGCAGACTGCTGCTAGTCCCAGACACGGGGCCTGCTGGCTGTACCCCACTGGCTGCACCCCACTGGCTGCTAATATCTGAGTGGATCCACGGAAGAAACAAGGTCAAACATTTGAAACGGCCCACGGCCCTGATGTAAATTCCCAACTTCTAAAGAATAAATGGATAATTCCTATACTACATAAAGCATACCAAAATATTTAAAATGGAAAAATGAGATGAACAAGGGCAGCACACAAAAAGGAAAGAACACAGAAGCAACTAGTAAGTCTGAAGTGTGCTTTTCCTCTAGAGCAGCCTGTGCCAGGGCAGCTTTGGGCGAGTTTCTTTCCTGGTTGGCTGGTAGGTGCAACACCTCCAGGACCTCCTTAGCACTTAACAACTAAATGCCCCAGGATCCTCTATCAGCTGAAATTCTTTGGCTGCCCAATAAATGCTGGCAGGTAGATACAACTGAGAAACGACATTGTGGGATTTCCTCGCTTGTTCTAAAACAGTGCAAGAGAATTAGATGGACGTTTAAAACATCTTATATTTTACATGACTGAGGACTGGTTGATCTCAGGTCACTTCTGTCTCCAGTTACTGTTTTTTTTTTTATATATATAAAATTCCACAACAGAGTTGTCTCTATAAGCTTTTCTACTTTTTACAATTAAAGCACTCGATCAGTACTTGCTACTCCACTGGAACTGCCCGGCAAGGCCAGCCACGATACCCCAAGTGAGAGGTCCAGTCCTCTTCCTACTCGCCCTTCAGGGCTGTTTGATGGGGCTGACTTCATCTTCTGGAACCAGTGTCTTAGCTTTTGCAGTGATGTTTAGCTTCTCAGTCTTTGCTGCTTCCTCCTCTTCTTTTCCCAAGGAGTTGTTCGTGGACTTCTCCACACTGATTCCCTCGCTGAGAAGACTGTCCACATTCTATGGCTTTAAATACCATCTCTAATGAAGACACAGAGATATCTCTCCAACTTATCTCTCCTAAACTCTAGAGTTCTCAAATTGCTTATTTGAAATTTTTATTTGGATATCTCAAAAACATCTCCATCTCAAACAAACAAACAAAAAAAGAACAAAACCTATAGTCAAACTCTCACTTGTGAACATAGAGGCAAAAGTCCAAAAGGAGTGAATCCCTGGCTAACCGAATCCACACTCGCATTCCTCATGTACAAGGGGGGGACAATGTGAACGAGTCAATCATGGCTTCATCATAACATGGAAAAGGAAGACCCAAGATTCAAATGTAATTTTCTCTGTACATATCAACATGGCATTCACTGGCCTGCCGCATCTACTCTTGATTAAAACTACACATAAAACAAAACACAATCCCACAATGAAGGGTATTTAAAAGAAGGAGATAATGCTAACTTAATGGAGATACACTAGAATGGCCTCATTTCAGAACCAGAAGCAACCTTAGTAATTAAAGTTAGACTCCATCATTTTCAGATGAAGAAGCAAGAGAAACAAGGCTCGGAGAGATTGAGTGACTTGCCTAATGTTATTCAGCTAATATATGGCAGAGCCAGGACTCGAACCCATGTCTTCTGACCCCAAGTCTGAGGCTTTCTGTCATCATCCCTATTTTATATATCATGAGACATTCTAGCAATTGCTATTAGGGGGGAAAGAAACTAAGAAAATATAATATGTACAAAATGAAGAAATACAATATCACATTGCAGAACACATGTCTGTCCCTCTGGAAGGTTCGGAGGGGAGAGGTGTGGTTGTCAGAGGAACCGATGAGCACCCACACGTGCGCCAGAGTCTCAGCTCAAAACACGGGACAACGTCTCCACTCACAACAGTGATGAAAGCACCAAGTTATCGAATCCTTGGATGTTCTTGGGCCATAAGAATACTTATTCAGCCCTGGCTGGCGTAGCTCAGTGGATGGAGCGCGGGCTGGGAACCAAAGTGTCCCAGGTTCGATTCCCAGCCAGGGTACATTCCTGGGTTGCAGGCCATAACCCCCAGCAACCGCACATTGATGTTTCTCTCTCTCTCTCTCTCTCTCTCTCTCTCTCTCTCCCTCCCTTCCCTCTCTAAAAAATAAATAAATAAAATCTTAAAAAAAAAAAAAGAATACTTATTCAAAGGAAATAATAAAAATTTAATGGGAGAAATAAAATACAAGACCTCTACCTCTCCTAGCTGGAAAAATCTAGTAAAATAAAAAGGAGAATTCTTTCCAAGTTAATAAATAGATGAAATAAACTATACTAATTAAAAATCCCTGAGATATTTTTCTAAATGTTAGGAAAAGTGTGATAAAAGAAAAATGGGACTATCAAAGAATATTAATAAGAAATGATGACAGATTCAAGTTTTCGTAAAAGAACGTTTGTATCATGGGTAAGATATAGGAAATAATAATAAATGAATATCGATGTACTCACTACTTAGCTAAAGAAATATAAAATTTCTTGGGATGGGAGTAAAAGATAGAAAATTGTACTGCAACAACAATTAAAATTAAAAAATTAAGAAATATAAAATTTCCAGTTTCTCTGAAACCCCTATGTGGGCCCACCCAGCGACATGCCCCTTCCCTGACCCCTCCTGAGATACCCAGTATCCTAAATTTTGTTTTCATCCTTCTCTTGACTTACTTTGTTTTCCAAGAGCATAGGCAACCTTGAACAATACAGTGTAGCTATACAATGAGGGCCCATCATTATGGGCCTGGAGGAGGGAGAGGGGCTCCCTCTACCTGCCGCAGATGAGGGGCAGGAAGTGCTACAAAGAGGAGCTAATGTTTGACTGGGCCTTGAAAAACCAGACGGACCCGAGAGGAAAGGAAAAAAAAACACACACACACACATTGAAAGCTCGCAATGGTCTAGGTGCTGGTTGGACACTTAAGTGTCCTTCCGGAAGAGGGACCACACAAAGTCCTGGAGCTGTGAAAATACAAGGGCGTGTCTGACTTTCTTTCCCCTTCGAGACACCCACTGGTGCTGTGGGAGACACTGTGCTGCATCCACTGACAAGGAAGAAGGCCCGTCAATTCCTATGCCCTTATTAACGTGGGAAAACCCGTTAAAAAGGAACTGTTTTCTTTACTTCTAGGAATTTCCCTCAGAGCAACGATCAGAGATGGATGTCAAGATGCACTCACAGTGATCACAAACAGGAAACTAATGGCCAACCACCAGGGTTCGATTGGTTAAACTACTCTGCAGCCGTCAGAAGCAGGTGGCCAGAGGTCAGTTACCGGCACGGAAAGAACCACACCCATACTAAGTGAGGAAGAGCAGGTTACAGAACAATATGACCCCAACCTGACGGGGGGAAAAAGCAAAACACATTTTTTAAAGACTGAAAAAGAAATCTAATGCTCAAAAACTCTGTATGGTGTGGGGTTATGGGTGATAACCTTTGTCCTTGTTGCCTATTTTCCACAGTGAATATGCTTTACTCTTTAACAGTTAGATAGCAGCCCTGGATGATGTGGCTCGGTTGGTTGGAGCATTGTTCCATGAACCAAAAGGTCTCGGGTTGAATTTCCAGTTGGGGCACACTCCTAGGCTGTGGGTTTGGTCCCCAGTGGGGGCGCATACAAGAGGCAAACAATGGATGTTTCTCTCCCTCTTTCCCACCCTCCCTTCCTCTCTCTCTCAAATCAATAAGCATGTCCTTGGGTAAGGATTAATAATAAATAAATAAATAAATAAATAAATACATAAAAATTAGATTACAGCACACCAAAAAATGTTATTTTAAACACACCCGCACGATGGACCCCAGGCCCCGGTGGCTCACCTTCGGCAGGGTGGGGGTGGGGCAGGTGTTCTCAAACAGCACCGAGTTGAAGAGCCCGTAGATGCCCTCATCCAGGTGGTACACGATGGTCTTGGGGACAGAACCGGTCTCATCTGCAGGGAGGGAGGGGCCCGTGGCAGGGCAAGCAGCGAGACGAAGGGGTGGGAGTGGGGAGCTGGCACGACAGTGGGCTCCATGGGGACGATAGGCTACTGAAGTGAAAGGGCTGCCTCTGCCTCAGCTACCAGCCCGCACCTGTGCCCTCCTGTGACACGAGGGTCACTGCCTTCTTGGAAACACTCACGCTTGTAGCCAAGCAACCCTGCCCAAGACACACGCCTCGCCTGCAGCTGAGCCTCCTGAGGCCCCAGCAAAGGCAGAAGAGCAGTCCACCCAAACTCAGGCCCCCAAGAGGTTAAGCCACATGCTCAGAGGCACAACACTGGGGCAGAGAATGAGTGAGAAGCCAGGTCTGCTGCTGGGACTAGAGAGGACAATTCCCCAGATCTATAAAGGTGACCAGAAGAACGCCATTCACATACTCACACACACACAGAGACATTCTACCTTAAGCCCACCTCCCCACACACGGATTCTCTTGTGGGACTGCCGAGAGGACTGATCTAGCCAGAAGGGCAGGGAAGAGTGATGATGTTAGCAGTGTGGACACAGACACCTGAATCAGACCAGCCTGAACTTGAATCCTCGCACTGCCCCTCATCAGCTGTGTGACCTTGGGCAAGTGACTCAGCCTTTCCATGCCTACATCTGTCATCTGTAAAGTGGGCTTAGACAAATAGACGCTGTCATCGATTATTTTCATTATGTGATGAGACGCAGTAGGGTGAGCAAGAGGCAGTCCATAGGAGAGGAGACAAACATGGGATCCAATGCAGGCTTTGCCTCCTACTAGCTATTTAGCGATTCATTTGTATTTGCTTTGGTTCTCAGTTTCCTCATCCGTATAATACAGTTAATAAAGTATCTATTCTACCTAAGGTTGTTTTTATTTTAATCTTCATAAAATATGAGCATGCATGGGAAAAAAATATGTTAAATAAGTGTCCTGGGAGAGAGGCAACTTGATTGTAAGATTTCATAAAGCAAGGACGCAGTTTGTGGATTCCCCACTCCCTAAAGCCAGACCCTGCTCAGCCAGCCAGTCTCTACCTTCAGGGAAGAATGAGGCGCTGCTGCCCACCTGGTACCTACCCTCCCTGCCAGGCTGCTCCAGAAGAACCTCCTTCTTGGCAATGATGCTGACTGCCAAGGTGAAGGCCGAGCTCACATAGTAGCGACCCAGCTGGGCCAGGATGTCCACACCACAGCCCTCCGGGAAGTACAGGTCCAAGGCTGAGTTGATCACAGAAGCGAGCTGGCGGTGGTAGAAGGATAGGAGGTGGACAATTACATGTTTGAAGTATAGGGTTTATGTCAAAGACTTGCTACAGCTCCAAGTCTGTTTCTTGAGAGCTTGTTCGATTTCAGAAAGAAGGACTTGGCAGCTAGGTGCTAAGGCCCCAGCTGGTAACCAGGGACAGCTGGCCAAGAAGGTGGGTGGGGAGCAGAGTGGGGTCAGGCCCCCTCATCCTGTGTAACTCACTCTTCTCAATGCCCCCCCCCACCCCCAGGGAGAAGAGGCAATCTCAAAATAACACTTGGTACTAAGATGCCAGAAGCCCTGGTGTGGATTTTTCTTTCATAAAAAACAAATCTGTTAAATGACATATTTTTTACAGAAAAACTAACAAGAAAAAAGGAGCTCAAAACCACCTCTAATTTCAGCATGGATGGACCTAGAGGGTATTACGCTAAATGAAATAAATCAGAGAAAGACAAATACCATATGGTTTCACTTAGATGTGGAATCTAAAGAACAAAGTAAACGAACAAACAAACTTGAGACAGACTCATGAACACAGAAAACAGACTGATGGTTGCCGGAGGGGAAGGGTTGGGGACTGAGGACAGAGGGGAGGGATTCAGAAGGACAGATGGGTAGTTACAGACCAGTCACAGGGACATAAAGTACAGCACAGGGAATACGGTCAACAATATTGTAATAACACGTTGTAAAGTATAATCGTATACTTTACACTATTCTGAAACTAATACAAAATAATATTGAATATAAACTATAATAGAAAAAAAACTTTAGTTTAAAAAAAAAAAAAAGAATCACTCCTCCCCTGGCTGGTGTGGCTCAGCCCGCTGGAGCACTGTCCTGTGAACCGGAAGGTTGAGTGCAGGTTCAGTTCCCAGTTGGGGGCACATGCCTGGGTTGCGGGTTCGGTCCCAGGCAGGGCATGTGTGAAAGGCAACTGATCAATGTTTCTCTCCCCCTCTCTCTCCCTCCTTTCCCCTCCCTCTAAAATCAATAAGCATGTCCTTGGGTGAGAAGAAAAAAAAATCACTCCTAATTCTATTATCCTGATAAACCTAATCATTGTTAACTTTTTGGAGTAGCTCCTTTAATTCTTTTTTTATGATAAACAAGCTGGGGCTATACACACGTCTTTTATAACCTGTTTTACTCAAGAGACGTGAATGGCCTTTACATGTAACTAAATGTCTTCATAAGAATGTTTCATAATTTAACCAATCCCTGACAGCCAGATAGACCAAGGAGGTGCAGTGGAATTCTGTGATGTACAGGCTGCTGTGCTCATCTGTGAGGCCAATTCTTTGTGTCTATAGTGAGTTATTTTCTCGGGGACAGGTCTTTGATGCAGATATTCCGAGATGAAGCTCTTACTACTAAGGAGGAGCGCCCCCTAGTGGTTGGAGTGGAGACGGACATGACACATTTTTCTGGATTTTTTCTCATGGATGGTGGCGGTGGACAGGTTCGTTTTCCTTTTCCTGCCTTCCCATTTGATTTCTTATCAGCCCAGACCTTCAGAGAGCTTAATGACGTATGCAAGTATGGCCTGGTTGAGCCTCAAATATGTGGGTGAGTCAGGCCGAGCTGCGTGTGCAGCCAGCTCTACCGTGGACTCAGAAAGTGATATAACGTCTATGAGCCTCGTTTGCTCAGCAGTAACACAAGGTTAGTAACGAGATCCAGGCAAAGCACCAAGCTCAGCACTTAGCACATAGGACTCGCGCAGAGGGGCTTCCCATCTCCATTATAACCCTCCCTGCCCCGCCCCCACCCCCACCCCCACCCCCACAGAGCTCAACACCATGCTTCCAGCCTCAGGGTTACCTCTTCGAATCTCACTTTGGCCCCCTCCACTCCAGGAAAGCCGCCACCAAGGTCCAGGATATGCATCCTGTGGCCCAGCTGGGCACCCATTTCAAACACAACTCGGGCGTCTGCAATGGACTGAGCATAGGCCTGAGGGTCGGGACAGCCACTGCAGAGGTGAAAGCTGGAAAAGGAGGAAGAGCCTCGGCTTACAAGCAGGACCACAGGTGCCACCACCTCAGCCCCAGCCAGGAAAGGCACATTGGACTCGGTGCCCATTTGGCAGATGTAACGACTGAGTGCCTAAGAGGTTAAATGGGTTGCTGTGGGTCATGCGGCAAGTGAGGGGCAGGCATTCTGCCACTATGGCAGGGCCTTCTGGGATGAGAGCCAAGACCCCAGAGTCAACCGGATTTGGATGTACCCCTCCATCAGCGGTGTGTGACCTGCCTGGGCTTCAGTTTTTCCATCTATAAAGTGAGGAGAAGACCTCAAAAGCTGTGAGATAATGTATATGGAACATTTAGCACAGGGCCTGGAATGTCCTAAGTACAGATAAATGAAAGCTATGTTGTTAGGTGATCACCACTACGTATTCCACGCCCTTGTAAGGAGAGAAGCACAGCAAAGGTGTGGCCTGCAGGCTGGTAAAACTCCTGCAGAGCCAGGTCCCTCCAGGGACCTCCTGGGACACCTGGGGACTGTGGGGTTGGGGCAGCAGGACTCACCAAACCTTCTTTCCAAAGAGAGGAAACTCTCACGTGGCAGAATTCCACGCCCAGGGACAGGCCCTCCCTGGAGGACCTTGGGCAGTGCTCATACCAACTCTTGGGCAGAGTTGATTAACTCCTGGGAAAGAGGCAGTGGGTCTGGTGTGGGTGGAGGGGGGAGACTGACAGACACTCACCTCACACCCACCACCTCCACATGGCTCTCCTTAGCGTTTTGAAGCAGATGTCTGCAGGATTTCAGCAACGCTCCAAACTTGAGGCTGAGGTGGCTCAGGGAGTGGGAGTCCTCGGTGGCAATGCACAGAACCATCCTGGGGAGACACACAGCGTACCTCCGCCAGGTAGACCCTGCCTCCCCCACCCCAACCACTTCTCTGAGTCAAGGGATGTGAAGCCCAGCAGCTCAGAGCCATCCAACCCCACGGGTACCCGGGCCCCTTTCTCTCCCTGCACAGCCATCAGCCTCTGAGTACTGTCCCATCCAGTCCCTAAACGTCCCTGGGCCCTTCCTGCAGTCCCTGCCCTGGTCAGACCTCAACCGTTCCCCCCCACCCCCCGCCCCCGGGGGCAGCTCCACTTCCTCTAAATTAGCCACTGTACCAGCCGGGCTTTCCCAACTTTCTTTGTAAGAGGAAAACTTCTCTATTTTTCAAACACAGTCTTATCGAGAACCCCACGATCATGTGTGACAAAATGGAAGCTGCTGTGGGTAACGCAGAGTGGCCCACCACCTGGCCTCCTCTTCACCCCCAGGTCCCTCCCTGGAGTCCCCAGGGTGCTAAGTGACCTTGTGAGAGCCTCAGTCTGAGCAAAATGTCCAGCCCTGACCCCTTGCAAGGCCCGTTTGCATCAGGTCCCTGCCCCATGACCAGCATCATTCAGTCCCCCTCACCCCTCACCCATGGTGTCTGTCTTCTAGTCTCACCAGATTTCTGCTTATCCCACAGATGCCCCATGCTATTTCGATCTCTATGCATTTGCCTATGCAGCTCTCTCTGACACACTGTTTGTGCCCTCCCCAAACTGGGTTCACTACTCAAGGCCCACCTCCAAAGCAAGTTCTTTCATGAAGCGTTCTCAACCACCCCTCCAGTTCTCTCAGCCATGCCTTTGCCAGAGTCAGGTCCTGGCATCCTGGGTCCAGTTCAAGGTGCTTGCCCCAACCTCCTGTGGCCCTGGCTGGGTCCAGGGCAGGGTCCCTGGCTCCAGCTCCACCCCTCCCACCCTCTCCGCCTCCACACACGAGTGGCTCTCAGCTTACTTGGCACTGGGGTGGCTCTTCACCACCTTTGCCAACTCCATCTCATTGTCAAAGCTCAGCAGCTGGACCCCGTGCTTGGCAGCATACTTGATCTGCGCAATTTGCTTACAGGGATGCGCGTAGATGATCTTACTGGCAGGGACACCAATACGCTGGACCAGCTCCATCTCTGTCTGTGGGGTCCCAAAGGTGGAGGTGAGGAGGCAGCAGGGCCTGCTTGGGCCCGCAGAAGCCAAGGAAACACAGATGAGAGGCAAAGTCATAGCTATGCACGCAGAGGTCCATAAGAAGTGGGCCTCACTGTCAAACAACAGACAGACATGCGAAAGTCAGGGTCATGCTGCTTCCCCATTGGCGGCCAGGCAGGGCTGCCACGCCCAGCTGCGCAGGCGTGGCACTGCGCTAGCCCCCGCGTCTGTTCACATAGGACACGTGGTAGGTTTGTGTACTAAGTGCAGCCTCCTGACAATAAACTGGTATATTCCGCTTCTCACAAAACTGGTATATTTATTATAACAATTCAGTGTCTCAAGGAAGGGGTACATTTTCTTTAAAAAATTTTTTTAAATGGTTTTACAAAGACATTGATTTGTTCCACTTATTTATTCATTCATGTGGTTGATTCTGCTATGTGCCCTGACCAGGGATCTAACCTGCAGCCTGGACGTATAGGGATGATACTCTAACCCACTGAGCTACCCAGCCAGGGCGGGGTGCATTTTCTAATTCACACAAAGGCATTGTAAGAACTCATGGTGGCCCTAACTACAGACTTCTGATGCATTTTCCTGAGAGATGTAAATGCTTAGAGGATATTAGTTGACGTGTTAGAAAGTTCACAAGGCCAGGAGTCTTTTTGACACAGGCCTGCGGCATGCATGGCACTGTGCTGGCGACTCCTGCGAGCTCCGCCCCCATGGGGCCGCCTCCCCCTCACCTTTGCGGAACACTGCTCCCCCTGATGGCTGCGTGTTGACACAGACAATGGTGATTACAATGACAGCAACCATGGTCACGGAGCACCCACCACCAGCGGGCACCCAGTGAGACACTTCCTACGTCAGGTGTCAGCAAATTTCTTCTACACAGGACCAGAGAGTAGATAGTTGAGGCTTTGTAGGCTGCACAGTTTCTGTCACAACCACCCCACTGCCACTGTGGCCCCCAACTAGCCACAGACAATGTAGAAGTGAGTGAGCTAGACGGGGGTCCAATAAAACTTTGCAAAATCAGCAATAGGCTGGATTTGGCTCACCACCCAGTTTGCCAACCCTTGCTGTGCATTAACTCCTTTATGTGCTCCTTGCAATAACCCCACCCAATGGGTATTCGCTCCTGTTCCACAGAGCAGGAAGCTGGGGCTCAGAGATGCCATGCAGCAAGTAGGTGGCAGAACCAACTTTCAAACTCAGGCCTGACTCTCTGTGACTAAGGGAAAGAAGCCAGTTTAGAAACAGGAAAGGAGGCACAAGGCCATTTCTAGCCATCCTGAGTTTGCAATAAGACTCTAATTTTAATTGAATAACTTTTCAGCACAAGGTATGTATGTGCATTATCTCAGGTGACGCCTATACCTGTCCTATGAAATATTTATTGGCCACGTTTTACAGAGGACAGAGCGGTCCCCCTGCCGGCGGTGACACGGCCAGGAATTAGCAGAGCAGGACACAAAGGTCCAGCTGCAGAGCTGGAGTAGCTGCCCCAAGTCTGGGCGGATATGACGCTGTTTCCCTCCCTGCTTCACCACGTGAGGCGAGGAGCAGTGCTAGCACTGTGGGGGCCTGAGGTTTAGCTTTGCTTATAAATATGTAAATAATAATCACTGTAATCATTGAGAAATGCAAGTCAAAACCACAATGAGATTGCACACCTGTCAGAATGGCTATCATCAGGAAGAAATACCAAGCACTGGCAAGGATGTGGCAAAAAGGGAACCCTCCTGCACGGTTGGCGGGAATGTAAATTGGTGCAACCACTGTGGAAAACAGTGTGGAGATTTCCCAACAAAATTAAAAATAGAACTGCCATATGACCCAGGAGTCTCACTTCTGGGTGTTTATCAGAAGAAATAAAAAAAAAACACTAATTCAAAAAGATATATGCATCCCTGTGTTCACTGCAGCACTATTTGCAATAGCCAAAATACGGAAGGAACCTAGTGGTCCATTGGTAGATGAATGGATGCAGAAGATGTGGCAGGCAGATACAACAGAATACTACTCAGCCATCAAAAAGAACGAAACCTTGCCATTTGTGACACAATGGATGGACCTAGAGCATTTTATGCTAAATAAAATGATTCTGACAGAGAAAGACAAATATCATATCATTTCACTTATATGTGGAATCTGAAAAACAAAATAAACAAACAAAACAAAATACAAACAGCTTCACAGATACAGAGAACAAACCGATAGTTACCAGAGAGAAAGGGAGTGGGAGGAGGGCAAAAAAAAAGGCGAAGGGGAATAAGAGATAACATTTCTGGTTATATGATACATTAGTATGGGAATGTAGCGTGCAGCACAGAGGCTACAGTCAATAACACCGTAACTCTCTGTGGTGACTATTGTGTGGTGGTGACCACTGAGTGAGGCGCACCAATGTCTAATCACAGTATTGTACACCTGAACTAGTATAATATTTCCATCCTGCCAGTGACAGAAACTGTTTCAAGGGTTTCAGGAAGGGAAATGACATGCTCAGGTCTGCAGTTTAAATGCAAGTCTAAATGCATATCAGTGGGGCCTTGACTGGCATGGCTCAGTCAGTTGGGCATCATCCTGCAAAGCAAAATGTCACTGGTTCGATTCCCGATCAGGGCACATTCCTGGGTTGCTGGTTCAGTCCCTGGTCACGGCATGTGCAAGAGGCAGCCGATGGATGTTTCTCTCTCACATCAATGGTTCTCTCCTTCTCTTTCTCCCTCCCCTTCCCTCCCTCTGAAAATAAATAAATAAAATTTTAAAATAACCTTAAATGCATATCACTCTGGCTACCCAGAAGGGCCCGAGGGGATTGTGGGGAGACTGTCACAGTCACCCTGGCAGAGATAACAGAGTCTGCACCAGGAAGGCAGGGCCGGCAAGCCTGGTGGTGGATTACATGTGGGGATGCAGGGTGAGGATGTATCAGGGGACTCCATGCATAGCAGACCAAGGGACGCTTCTCAAAGGAAGGATCGTGAGTATATTTGAAAACACTGGATGCCAGGCATCCTGTTACATTATCAAGCCAGCAGCTGGCTATATAGGTCTGGGTAGTAGAATCAAAACATGGGAGGCAGCAGCACATCAATGGCATTCAAAGCCATGGGAAGAGATGAAATTCCCTAAGCAGAGGGGGGTTTACAAGAGAAGGAAGCCTGAGCCAGAATCGAGGAACCCTCCTATTGAGAGAGCAGTAGGTGATAAGGAAAAGCTGGCACGCAGGACCTGCACAGAGGTGAAAGGAGAGAGAATGCCTCCAGAAGAGGCAGAACAGGACAGAGATTCTAATGCCATTTCTGTCCAAGCAAAGCCTGTCCTACAACTCGAGTCTGTATGGAAGGTGGTGTCTCCACTATCGGGGATATGAGTGAGGGTGGGCCAGGGCCTGAGCAGCATTCGCTTTCATCTGACACACTTCAGAGGTCTTTAAAAGTAGGAACATCTGTTATTGCTGAGTGTGTCTTTAAGAGATTATGTGGTTAATGGGGGAGTTGCTACTCAGCGGGCATCAGGTCTCAGTTCCGTAAGTGAGTAAGTTCTAGAGATCCGCCATACAACATTGTGCCTGCAATTAGCCACACTGGACTTTAAAAAAAAAAGCCCTTGCATTGAATATTGTTGAGAGGCCAAGCAATAGGAGGATTGAGGAGTGTCCCCAACAAGGTGGAAATGCGCCAACACAGACAGCTCTCCAACACCTGCCGAGTGGCCGGCTATTGCCGAACACTGCATGCCATGTGACCACCTTTTCTGTTTTATCACAAAATCACAAGATAGCATGTATGTTTTCTATGTCGTACTTGCAAGTATTTTCAAATACGAATATACCCACCAAACCCAAATTCATAGTGGCAATGATCTCCGGAGACATACAGCCGATGTCCTACTTGTGTGTGTGTGTGTGTGTAAACACATATATTATTTGAATGATTCAAAATGAAGGTCTAAAACAAAGTGTTCACTGTATCCAGGAGATCACTGGGGACGTCGGGAAGAGGAGTACCTTGGAGTAGTGAGAGTGAAGGCCGGGAAGCAATGGTGCGAGGAGCAGGTGCTAAGGGACGGTGACAAGCGAGTGCAGACAGTTCATTTTGGCTGTGAAGAAAGAGCAAGGGATCAGGGTGGGGGGTGATGGGGTGTTCAGGGAAGGCTTTTGAAGATAGAAGCACGCTAAGGGAGACAGCAGGAGAGGGAAAGCGATGGGGTCAGGGGAGATGACATGAGGTCTTTGGAAAGGTGGGCAGGCCAGAGGGTGTGGTCTGTGCCCTTGACCCCCAGGTTCTCCAACACAAATCCGTACACCCTGCCCCAGCTCACTGCTAAGCCCTCAGTCACTGTGCTAAGCACAACCACCAGCTATGGCTGACCAGAAGAGGGCAGCCTTGGACTTTCAAAAAAACCTGGGTGCCCCACAGCTACCTCTTAGTAAATGCACCCAAAGGTCTGCGCGATCCCACCCACCAGGAGGGGTGCTTGGCCTCTCCTGGTCCTCGTGGTCAGCATCTGTCACCAGCTTCACCGCAGCTCAGCCCTCCCCTCTCTAGAATCCTGGAAAAGACAGCTGCTGTAGCATCAGAGCCCATTGCTGTACACCAGCAGCCACTTCCCAGTAAGTCACTCAGCCTCTGCTGCTTTCTTTTTACATTAAATGTGTCCTCAGAGGACTGTTGTCAGAGCCAAGGTAATAGTAATTACCTCACGTGGTTGTTTCGAGAATAAGATGAGATCATGTACAGAAAATGCTCGGCAAAGCCCCTGGCTCGACAGAAGCACTGGTAGATGCTTTTAAAGCCTCCACTGACCTCACACCCTTTGAAGGCAGCCCCTGAGGCTGGTGGGCCAAGGGCCCCCTCTCTGGGTTTCCAGCAGCAGATGATTCTAGTCAGTGGGGTTCAGTCCTGTTCTTCACCCCTAGACCAAGGGGCCCAGAAACAGATCTCCTTCCTCTTTGCCCAGAGCAGAGGCCTGGTGTGTGCAGAGGAGAGTCCTGGCTGTGCTACTGGTTGGCTCCCAGTTTGCTCAACTGTAAAATGGCATCTCTCTCCCCATGCCCCTCGCAGGGCTTTATGTGACACACGCACAACTGGGTGTGCAAAGCAAGAGGTAATGCAACGGGGCTTTGTGGGTGATGAGAGAGGGAGACTCATCTATCGGTAGCAGCATTTCCATTAGTCCCTGATAAAGGTTAAGCTGCTCCTCCCGGCGGTCCCACCCTGGTGCACACCTGTCTCCCACTGGAATCCCACCAGCCCTGTCGTCCTGACCAGGATAGCTCTTCTCCTTTCCCCCCAGGGCTCCCTTCTAAAGCCCTCCTCACAACACCCAGTGACATTGCTGCCTTTAAAGGGTTTAAAGAGGGTTTTTTAAAGGGCTTAAAAAGGATTCCCCTCAAAATAATCATTACTAGCCATTACAAAAAATAACAGTAATGACAATAACACAAACCAGTGCCCACCAGGAACCTCAGGGCCTTTGCATATGCTGTTCCCTCTGTCTAGAATGCCCTTCCCCTTGTTATCCACCTGGTGTGATCCTTTGCTTCCTTCGGGTCTGTATTCAAATTTCAGCAAAGCCTTCCTTAGCCAAACTATCTAAAAGTGCTATCTTCTCTCCGAACATTCCATACTTCCCTTTCCCACTTTAATTTTCTCCATCTAAAATACTATACACTTTCTTTTTAAAAAATATGCCTATTGATTAGAGAGAAAGGGAGAGAGAGAAAAACATTGATGTGAGAGAGAAACATTGATTGGTCACCTTCTGTGCTCCCTGACTGGACCGAACCTGCAACCTAGGTGTATGCCCTGACCAGGAATCGAACCTGCAACCTCCACACCCTTCTGGTGCACAGGATGATGCTCCAACCAACTGAGCCACACCAGCCAGGGCAATGCTATGCATTTTCATTGTTTAACTTATTTAACTTATTTTAGAAAGGAAGCTCCATGAAGAAAGGGCTTTTTGCTGTTTTGTGCACTTGCTAAATCCCCACCTAGAACAGTACTTGGCACCACAGTAGCTTCTCAATAAATGTCTGCTGAGTAAATAAATATACCCAAAGCTGTACTCTGAGGGAGCTTTGTAGCTAAAAGGCTTTTCTCAAGTAAGAACAGAACTAAAATAGATAAGCTAATGTGGTGATGAAAAAATAGGTGAGCTTTCAACTCAAGGACAGCAGAGTCTGTCTCACTCTGTGGCCAGCCGTACCTATCACAGTGACCCGCACAATGCAGGAGCTCAATGAATAAAGAATGATAGTAAATAAGAAAGGAAATCTAAATTGAGTGGGAGAGAATTAAGACAATGGCATTAATAAAATTAGAAAAGTGATAGAATTGGCAACGAATAACAAAACTCTAAAAGGATTAGTCAAGAAAATGTATCACCTATTATTAAGATTATATAAGAAAACAAAACCAAGAGTAAGAGGGTGTTTTTGTTTTGTTTTAGTTAAAAGCTCTATGTATAGAGCCACATATAGCTCTATGCCGAGAAGTTTGAAAGCTTAAAAAGATGTCCCAAAAATAAAAAGAAAAAGATGACCCCGCTACCCCAGGGACGCACATGGTTCTGATTTGCAGCTTCAAGACTGGCAAATGCCATGCTTGTTTCTCCCTCCCTCATCCCTTAAACCCCCTTCCAAGTGAGTGGCCCTTCCAGAGGGCAGTGGCCAACTGCCAGTCACTCCTGCCTCCCCAGGGCCCACCCACAGCAGCCCAGCAGCCGTATGTGTGCTGAGTAGGCAGCAAGGGTCCGTGTGCTGGTGGGGGCAGCGGCTCACCTTGTTGGCACAGCTGAAGCCCAGCCCCAGCTCAGCCAGGACCTTCAGCACGCCCGGGCTGCTGTTGCACTTGACAGTGTAAAAGGGCCGGACTCTAGGCAGGCACTTCAGAAAGTGGAAGTGCTTCCTCACTACCGCACCCAGGTCGGCCACGAAGAAGGCAGTGACCTCCCCCTGCACAACAAGATGGGTGAATGTGAGACCCTACCCAGCTCCCGCCTTCTGCATGCCATTCCTGATCCTCCCAAATACCTGCCCCAAGCTCGGCTGCGGCCACAGAGCACCTTGCTCTAAATTCTCTGGGGCTTCCCAAGTCTACAGGACACCTTGCTCTGAGTTCTCTGGGGCAGACCAGTTCTACAGGACAGAAGGTAAACTCCCCAGCCTGGCATTTGCGGATCTGGGATCCAGCCCTTGTCCCTCCCCTCCCTGCAGTTCAAACACCAGCTACAGGCTGGATTCTTTATTTTCCCACCTCCAAGCCTCTGTTCCCAGCATGCCCTTCACAGAGAACACCCTTCCCCAACTTGTGTCTGGCAAATTCCTGGTCTACCTTAAATGGGTTTCATCTCCAATGCCACCTCCCCCAGACCAAGAAGGCAACTCTGCTTTTAAGGCTCCCACTGCATTTTGCTCTTGCTCCCAAAGTATCAGAACTGTGTATGCATCTGTCTTCTCCAGAAAAAGATCACTTCCTTGAAGGCCAAAGCTGTGGCCTACAGCCCACTGCTTTTCACATATGGGTACCCAATGAAGCCTTGAGGTAGTCGCGCTGCCAATGCAAACCATGCCTGCAGACAAGTGGCCCTAACGGATTTGCTGAACATGGAACACGGATCAGGCTATGGGTGAGTCCACATAACTGAAACTTCCCCAGGACTCAGTTTTCCTTTATGCAACACTTTTTTTTTTTTTTTTTACTGATGACCACTTGGTGTTGGGAGTTATGTTAGGGGACAGAAATGACCCCATGGGAGTCTCTACGCAATGCAGTGGGGGCCGTGGAGAAAGAAAACACAAAAGCAGCCTGCACAATCAGGAAAGGGGGATACTGATGAGTAGTAAGGGATGAGTAGTAATAGGTAAGAGGGAGAGAGGCCAGGAGAAGGGTGTTCTAAGCAAAGGGGTGATAGGGATAGAGCACGTGGCATCTTTGGGACTATGACATACGCTGGGGGAGAAGCTGGAAATGGGGCCAGGAAGGCAGAGGAGTCCTGATTTGACCCTGTAAGCTACTGGGACTTGGGAAAAGAATTCTAATTTTGAGCAGGGCTGTGATCAAGTTGGGGTGAGGGATGAGGCAGGGAGGAGGTTGGGGGGCCTCTTGAGAGATGAGGTCAGGACTACAAGACAGGTTCTGGAGGAGCACACTAGAGGGTATTTTAAGGAGGCTGAATTCACAGAGCTTGGTGATGCCTCGATTGGGAGGTGGGTGTGAGGAGAGGGAGAAGAAGGGGCTGCCAGGTTTCTGACCTAGATCTAGGGCTAGGTAGATGACAGTGGTGCTCTCATCAAGGCAGGGAATGGGAAGGGCAGGTTTGAGAGCCAGGGATAAATGAACCTGTCTCTTGAAATATCTTGCTATCTTGAAGAGTAAGGGCCGAATACCAAATAAGTGAAAGAGTAAGACGAGGACCCCATCAGAGGAGGCAGCTGGGCCTGCACAGGGAACAGGGGACCCACCCCCACTCGCAGCCCCTCACCATGGTGGCCTGTGAGGCCCCCAGAGTGAGTTCCTCCAGCAGGTCTCGGGTGCTGAAACCTTCCTCCACCATCACAAAGTCCGTTTCACTCAGGTAGCCAGCCATGCCGAGGAGAGGCCGATGGGCTGGATGGAGCCGCCGCTGCCGCACTGCCGCTGTCGCCGCCGCCTTAGAAAGTATGCAACACACTGCAGGGGGAGAGTGAGGAGTCTGCTGGGCGGGTGTGGACGGGGGAGGGGGACCTGCCTCCGCTGATCCTCTCACTTCCCCAAGCGGGGGTGCCCAGTCCCGCCACACCGCGCCACACCCCTCGCACAAATCTGAGGCGCTGAGGTTCACTGGGACAGGATTCCATCGAGAATCCTGGACTGGAGCAAAGCATTACACGCCTAGATGTCGCTGCCTCTCAGAGCCTCAGTTTCCCCATCTCTAAATTGATGAGTTGTTTTGGAAATCCTTTCCAATTCTGAAATTCGGATTTTAGTTAAAAAAAAAAACAAAAACAAACAAACAAAAAAAAAAACAGAAAGAAAGAGCAACGGAGCAGGGAAGCCCAGAACCACCGGTAGCCAAGTTTCCGGCGTGCCCTTAGTCCTGACCACGCCCACCTACAGAGGCCCCGGGTTGTCTTCCCTAGGATTCTCAGCTCCAGAGCCGGAGCTTAAGTTCCGGTCCACTCTCTATTGAGTGACCCTGGGTACACCCCGCCCCCTCTCAGAGCCTCAGTTTCACCATTTGTAAACGAGGGCTGGCTGATCCAGGAGTGCTAGGATTCTAAGCGTGCATGGGGTCGCCAGGCGGGCTCCAGGTCGAGAACCAAAAGATGAGGTTCTGTCCCGGTGAGCCCTCCCGAAGGCAGGGCCAAGGTTCCGCTCTCCCCCTCACACACACACACACACACACACACACACACACACACACACCCTTACCAAGCCCCGTCCTCCTTCGCGGGGGCCAGAGCCAGGCGCGCTGCTAGGGGGGGTCGCCGGTGACCTCGAAACTTGTGCAACACCCCGAGGAGTGGCAGTTGCGGAGCCGAGGCCCCTGCTGAAAAGAGGCAAGAGGGGCAACGGGCACATCAGCACCGGAGCAAAGGGCTCCTGCATCCCGAGGCTCTCAGAGCCACTCCCACACTCGCCTTAAAACGCATTTACACGGCTTTTTCCCATAGATCTTCCTAGCAAGTGAATTGGATCCACCGCGCCTCCGCTAGCTCGCTCCCCCGGGATCCGACCCCGCGGCCAGCGCCCGCCAGCTCAGCGACCGCCCGCTCAGCAGCTACAGACTCCAAGCCCCGCCTTCCTCCCCACCGCCCACTTATATAAACCCCGCCCAGACCCCGCCCCTGTCGCTCAGGCCCCGCCTCCAGTAGCCCTGGCAACCGGGTGCTGCCATCCCATTGGTCAATTCTGACAAAAAGCATTCATCTCTGCCAGCCAGCTCCGCAAACCTGAGCCTTAGTTCCCCAGGCTGGTCCATGGCTACCCACGCCTGGAAATCGGAACTGCAGAGTCGCCAACTTCAGCATCCCCGGGGTGTCTACGCGGTGAGACGCTTAGACTCTGGATTTGGAATCTTAAAGAGTGGGCAGGAAGCCAGGAGATTTCCTATTTGCCTTTTCTGTGACTACCTCCTTTCCTGTGTCGCTCCTCCCTCGAAGTACAGGTCAAAAGTTATCTTGTATTAATTTTCTAATAAAATCATTTTCATTTAATTGCCTCTTCCAACATATTCTCTGATTCCTCCAACTCAAACCCAGCCAAAATGTCTTCAGAGAGCCTTCTTGTGATTTTCCCAGCTCCAGGCAATCCCTCCCTTCATTCCATCCTCTGAATCTGGCAAACACCTATTACCTATCAAATGAAATGTGTCTGACTTCCCCATTCAAAGCATTTCTTCTCTTCTACACCTGAAAAACTCCTACTCATCCATCTAAGGCCCGTATGCCACCTCCCCTGTTGAGCTTCCCAGGAAGGACTGTCCTGGTCTGGAGGAGCAATGGAACTCAACGCATGTCTATGCTGTGCCGACTCCTGGCTCCTTCGGCTCTGGTTACCCACAAGGTGAGGTTCGGTTTTGTTTTACACTTCTTGTTTAATTGTACTGCTCAGCGAGTGCGTGAGCTCCCAAGAGCAGGAACTGAGTGCCTGGCATACACAAGAGTGCAGAAGATTGAATATCTGTGTTACTCAAAGGCTAATTTAAAAGTTCATCTGGAACAGTAATTATATGAGAACCACTAAGACATTCTGAAAAAAAGAAGAAAGAGGACTTTCTCTACCAGATAGCAAAGGATTTTATAAAGCTATAATCTTGGAAACAGCATAGTGGTGGTGCAGGAAGAGACAGTGGTAGAACAGAACAGTCTAGAATAGTCTTTTTTTAAAAAAGATTTATTTATTTATTTATTTTAGAGAGGGGGGATGGGAGGGAGAAAGAGAGAGAAACATCAGTGTGAGAAACATCAATCGCTTGCCTCTCACACACCATCAACCGGGGACCTGGCCCACAACCCAGGCATATGCCCTGACTGGGAATTGAACCAGTGACCTTTCAATTTGAAGAATGATGCCAAACCCACTGAGCCACACCAGTCAGGGCTAGAATAGCCTTGTGCATGTTGGAGAATGTGGTACGTAATGAAGGCAGCTTTTCAAACCAGTGGGGCCAAAAGGCTTTCGGTCTAACATATTTGTTCATGTCCCTGGTCAGGCTGTAGGCCTCTTGAAAGGCAGAGGCACTTCTAGTCCTGCCTCGGTATCTGCCTAGGGCACCCTGCACAACCTAACCAGATCATGCAGAGCAGTGACCATGGAGTCTGGAAGACCATTTTCTGCCCCCCTCCCAGTCTGACTGCTGGTGTCCTTGGGTAGGTAATTTCGCTTAGAGTCATTCTGCCTGGCTTGAGTTCAGACTGAATGATTTCTCTGGGCCCTTCTACCTGGAATCTTCCTGCTTTCTATGCATAGGAAGTGTCTCAGGATTCAGTCAGCTTTACAGGAAGGGTCATTTTCAGGTCCATGCTCTGAGAGAGATTTGTAGTCACACGTATCATAGTATGAATTAGTGACTGTGGTCCTCCTGAGAACAAGCAACTACTTACTAGGAGTAGGTAGACCAGAACAGCCACGACTGCATCTTCAAAGGGAGCCCTCAAGAAAAGATAGCAGTAAGAGGAGGGGAGGGGCACCCAAAGAAAGTTTGGCTCAATTTTTTTTAATCCTCACCTGAGGATACGTTCATTGATTTTAGAGAGAGGGGAAGGGAGGGAGAGGAATATTGATCAGCTGCCTTCCACACACCCCCAACCATGGACTAAACCTGCAACCTAGGCATGTGCCCCAACTGGGAGTAAACCCATGACCTTTCAACTTATGGGATGACCCTTCAACCAACAGCCACACTGGCCAGGGTTTTAGTTTTTTAACCACTTTTTTAAGCTGGGTGTATCTGGATGTCATGGTCTAAGTCCCCCTCACTAGCTCTTTTCATCCCCTGGTACAGAGGAGGCACACAGTAGGTGCATTCAGTATGTCTACTGAATTCATCAATGAAGGTAAGAAGAAACAAACCAGAATCTAGTCTGTCCATTTGTTATCTGTCAAGGGTTAGTGGACTGGATACAGACAAACTGGATTTATCTTTTTCCCTACTGGGTATGTTATATCACCAAATCTCCATGACAACGCTATGTCACAGGAGCTATAATTGTTCCCATTTTACAAATGAAAAATCTGAGACCTGGAGCTCAGCAAGTTGCCAAGGGTCACACAGCAAGTAAGGATGGAACCTAGATTTAAACTTATCTCTCCGACTCTTAACCTTTATGATTCACTGTCAACCAGTGGCTGAACATTCTGGCCCCAGCTCAACAAAAACCATCCAGTCATCCTGTTGGCAGCCAGCCCAAAGGTTAGCAGCTCCTCTCCTGCCAGCTTCTCACGCCACTGTTATCCACAGATGCTGTGCAGAGCCCTCTGTAATAAGCTGCTGAAGCAGGACAAAGAGCCTCTGATCTCTGGCCAGGATCATGTCCATCAATTTCAACCTATTCTTCCTAAACCAATCATAACGAAAGCCATAAACACTGCAAAAGGAAAACTGTCCTACATGTGTGCCTAGAGCTGGAAAGTTTGCAAAATACTTTCCTGTTGATCATTTCAGGATTCCCAGTACTTCATGGGGTTGGATGTCAGGTAAATTTAGGTTTGGCAGAGGAAAATAAAAAAGCCAAAAATAACCAAGCCATAAACCAGCATTGGTTTATTCTGTGAAGTGTGTAGTATATAACACTGGAGGTAAGCAGTCCAAGTCTGGTGTGGCAGTTCCACAAAGCCATGAGAAACCAAGGGACCTCCTCTCACCTCTGCCATCCTCAGCTCCTTATTTCTAGCCTCCTGGTCCAAAATGGCTGCTGGAGCTCCAGCCACATTCCCGGGGCTAATATTGAACCAGTATACACAAGCATGACTAGACAAATTGTTCATGATCCACGTCCTTTTTGATTGATGAGTGCCCATCTCCATGCTGATTGTTAAATATTTTAAACACCAACCCTATACATTCCAAGCATTAGGAAGCCCCCCTTTAAGCAGCCATCCTCAAATTCCACCTACATTAATTTCCTACGGTAGCTGTAAAAAAAAAGTACCAAAAACTGGGTCACTCAAAAACAGATAACTATTGTCTCACAGTTCTGGAAGCCAGAAGTCCAAAATCAAGGTGTCAGCAGTGCCATGCTCTCTCTGATGGTTCTAGAAGAGAGTCTTTGCTGCTTCTAGCTTCTGGTGTTTGCTGGCAATCCCTGGTGTTCCTTGGTATTCTTAGGCTTGGAGGATCTTCACTCCAGTACATGAAGAAAGGGCTATCTTCTCCCCTTTTGTCTTCACATTATCTTCCCTGTGCACATGTCTGACTCTGTGTCCAAATTTCCCCTTAAATAAGGACTCCAGTCATTCTGAATTAGAATTACCCACATGACCTTATTTTAACTTGATTGTGTAAAAACCCTGTTTTCAAATAAGGTCACATGCTGTGGTACTGGAGTTAGAAATTTACCATATCTTTTGGGGGGGCCACAATTCAACCCCGAACAACATCCAATACTTCCTTTCATATAGTTGGCCAAAACATAGATACATGGTGCCACCTAGCTGCAAGGGAGGCAGGAAGGCATAGTCAGTAGTTAAATACACTGTTGCTTCCTTGAACCCCCAATAAAGTCAAAATACTAAAAAGAAATGGAGGCTGGATATTGTGTGAAGACTGGCAGTCTCTGCCACAAGTAGGAAAGGTTATTTCCCCCTTTACAGATCAGCATACCCATCAGGATGATTATGGAATTTACTCTATAGGGAGAGGTAGACAGAGAAGTAAATAAACATTCATTAAGCACCTATCATGTGACAGGTCCCGCAATGATTATTAACAAATACATGATTGCATTTAACCTTTATACAACCCTGCAAGATAAGCATTATTAGCCCCATTTCACAGATGGGAAAAGTGATGTTAAATCTTTTGTCCAAGATGACACAGCTAGTAAGCAACAGAACTGGAATTTAACTGTGGTCTGAAACTTTATGCCTGTGAGATGGGCTCTGGGAATGGGGCATAGAGCCAGAGCAAATAACGATGAGGTCAGGTCAACAGCAAACAGCAGGAGACCTGAGAGAGACTGACACTCAGAGTGAGGCGGGAAGGGCATCAACCTGAAGTCAGCACGGCAAAGCCAGAAGCTGAAAGCAGCCTTAGGCATTGTAAGGTCAGAGCTGTCTTCAAGTATGGAAACTGATATTAACAACAGCCACTATTTATTGAGCATCTACTATGGTCAGGCACTGAATTATGTGCTTAACATTAATAATAGCTTACATTACCATAGTACTTATAGTACTTACTATCATGCAACCTTATAAGATTTATATAACCTTTAATCTCACAACAATTCTACGAGGTTTGTGCCATTAATATTACAAGGGATAAAACAGGCTACAGAGGCTAACTGACCTGCTCAAAGTCACACAGCTAGTAAGTGGCACTTCTGTGCTGC